GGGAAAGGAGGGAGAAAGAAAGGGAGAGAAACATCAATGTGTGGTTGCCTCTCAAGTATCCCCTATTGGTGACCTGGCCCAAAACCCAGGTATGTGCCCTGACTGGAAATCAAACCAGCAAGCCTTTGGTTCCCAGTCCAGTGCACAATCCACCGAGCCCCATGAGTCAGGGCCATAGTATTTTCCCTTTTTTAAAATATATTTTATTGATTATGCTATTACAGTTGTCCCATTTTCCCCCCTTCACTCCCCTCCACCCTGCCCACCCACTCCCACCCACAGTCCCCACCTTAGGTCATGTCCATGTGTCATACTTATAAGTTCTTTAGCTTCTACTCTTCCATACTATTCTTACCTTCCCCCTGTCTATTTTCTACCTACCATCTATGCTACTTATTCTCTGTACCTTTTCCCCTTTCCCTCCTCCCACTCCCCTGTTGCTAACCCATCATGTGACCTCCATTTCTGTGGTTCTGTTCCCGTTCTAGTTGTTTGCTTACTTTGTTTTTGTTTTAGGTGTGATTGTTAATAATTGTGAATTTGCTGTCATTTTACTGTACATGTTTTTTATCTTATTTTTTCTTAGATAAGTCCCTTCAATATTTCATATAAAGGTTTGGTGATGATGAATTCCTTTAACTTGACCTTATCTGAGAAGCACTTTATCTGCCCTTCCATTCTAAATGAAAGCTTTGCTGGATAGAGCAATCTTGGATGTAGGTCCTTGCCTTTCATGACTTGGAATACTTCTTTCCAGCCCCTTTTTGCCTGTAAGGTCTCTTTTGAGAATTCAACTGACAGTCTGATGGGAACTCCTTTGTAGATAACTGTCTCCTTATCTCTTGCTGCTTCTAGGATTCTCTCCTTATCTTTCATCTTGAGTAATGTAATTATGATGTGCCTTGGTGTGTTCCTCCTTGGGTCCAACTTCTTTGGGACTCTCTGAGCTTCCTGGACTTCCTGAAAGTCTATTTCTTTTTCCAGATTGGGGAAGTTCTCCTTTATTATTTGTTCAAATAACTTTTACACTTGTTGGTCTTCCTCTTCCCCTTCTGGTACCCCTATAATTCGGATGTTGGAATGTTTAAAGATGTCCTGGAGGTTCCTAAGCATCTCACTGGGGTTTTTTTTTTTATTCTTATTTCTTCATTCTTTTCTATTTGATTGTTTCTTTCTTCCTTCTGGTCCATTCGATTGATGTGAGTCCCAGTTTCCTTCCCATGATTATTAATTCCCTGTGCATTTTCCTTTATTTCACTTAGTGTAGTCTTCATGTTTTCATCTAATTTGCAACCAAATTCAACCAACTCTCTGACCATCCTGATTACCAATGTTTTGAACTGTGCATCTGATAGGTTGGCTATCTCTTTGTCACTTAGTTGTATTTTGTTCTAGAGCTTTGATCTGTTCTTTCATTTGGGCCATTTTTTTTTTGTCTTGACTCACCTGTTACATAGTGAGGGGCAGAGCCTTAGGTGTTCACCCGGGCAGGGCAACCTGGTTGCTGTGTTGTGATGCTGTATGTGGGGCAGGGGTCTGAGAGGGAACAATAGCACTTGATCCATTCTGCCAGATTTCAGTCACTTCCCCTGCTTTCCCCAAGCAAAGTGGACCCTTCTGGTTCTGATTTCCGTGTGGGTTGGTTTGTGTACATATTGGGCCCCTGTGGGTCTCTCCAATGAACTCTCCTGTGAGGCTGGGAGTTTCTCCCAGCACCTAAACCCTCACAGGTGTTTTCAGTTGTTTTTTTTTTTTGAGACCTTATTTCCCTGTGCTGCGGCCCTGGGTTTCATGGTCTGTCTCATTCTCCAGTTTTGTCTGGTTTATCTGCATGCAAATGTGTAACCGCCCTGTTCTGCCAGCCCCCTTGTGCGCCGAGCCCCTCCATAATCCACCGCCTGGCTGAGTCTGCCAGCTGCTGCTTTGAGCATCTGGGGTCCTCCAGCCACTGCTTTTATTTTGCCTGACCCCTCTCTGCACTGCTGCCCGACTCCGCCCCTCCTACGGGTCTGGATGAATGTGTCTACTTTAACTCCTTAGTTGTCGGACTTCCATACAATTTGATTTTCTATCAGTTCTGGTTGTTATTTTGTTTCTAAATTTTTGTTGTCCTTATTTTGGTTGTGCAAGGAGGCACAGTTTAGTCTACCTATGCCTCCATCTTGGCCGGACATCTCAGAGCCATAGTATTTCTTAAAACCCTTTGTATTTCTGTGCTGTCAATCATCACTTCTCTCTCAGATCTGATTTTATCTATTGGGGTCCTCTCTTTTTCTTGATGAGTCTGGTTAAAAGTTTATCAATTTTGTTTGCTTTCAAAGAACCGGCTCTTGGTTTCATTGATCTTTTGTATTTTTTAGACTTCTTTTCACTCTGTTCTTTATTATTTCTTTCTTTTTACTCATTTGGGGCCTTGTTTGTCATTCTTTTTTTATTTCCTTTCGGTGTAATGTTAGGTGATTTTTTCAGATATTTTTTCACGTCTTTTTAAATTTTTTATTATTCATTATAGTTGTTCAATTACAGTTATCTGTAATTTGACAATACAGTTGTTTGTAATTTTGACTATGTTTTCCTCCAGGAATTTTACGGTAACAAACTATAAAAATGATCCCTGAAAGTATAGTCTTTCAGAACTTTTATGGTGTCAATATTTATTTAGGTCTTTTATCCATCTTGAGTTTATTTTGGTGTATACTGTAGGTTGGGGGGTATAGTTGCATAGTTTTTTGCAAGTACCTGTTCAGATCTCCCAGAACCCTCTACTGAAGAGGCTATTTCTACTCCATTTTGTGCTCCTACCCACTTTGTCAAATATTAACTAACCATAGAAACATGGGTTTATTTCTGGGCTCTCTATTCTGTTCCATTGATCCATATATCTGTTTTTAAGCTATGAGATACCACTTCACACCAGTCAGAGTGGCAATCATTAACAAATAAACAAACAACAAGTGCTGGCGAGGTTGTGGAGAAAAAAACCCCTAGGACACTGTTGTGTGGGAATGCAGACTGGTGTAGCCACTGTGGAAAACAGTATGGAATTTCCTCAAAAAAATAAAGATGAAACTGCCTTTTAATCTAGCAGTCCCACTGCTGGGATTATACCCTAAGAATCCTGAATCACCAGTTCAAAAGAAACTGTACACCCCAGTGTTCATAGCAGCATTATTTATGATAGCCAAATGCTGAGAACAGCCTAAGTGCCCATCAGTAAATGAGTGGATCAAAAAACTGTGGTATATTTACACAGTGGAATACTATGCAGCAGAAAAAAGAAAGGGACTCCTACACTTCATGACAGAATGGTTGGAAATGAAGAACATTATGCTAAGTGAAGTAAGCCAAACAACAAAAGACAAATACCATATGATCTCACCTATAAGTAGAACATAATCAACAAAACAAAATGAGCAAAATAGAACCAGAGACTTGGAAATAAAGAACAAACTGACAGTGAGCAGAGGGGAGGGAGGAGGGGGATAACAGGGGAGAGAAGGGGAAGGGACAAACCAAGGAACTCAAATAGAGGATTCATAGGCACTGACAATGGGGAAGATGATTTACTGTTGCAGGGGGACATGGCAAAGGAGAATATGGGGGGAGGAGGGGAAGGCGGAACAACTGTAACTGAATAACAAAAAAATTTAAAAAGAAAAAGAAAAATGGGTCCATGGAGGAATAGAGCTCTCCTTTGTTTACTCACAGAACACTGTGGCATAGGCCCTCGCCGTGAAGCTGAGTTGGAAACAACATGCTGAGTAAAGTCATGCTGCCTGTGAAGACACCTCAGGGCTCACTGGCTGCAACGATGTGGCTGTGCCTTCTCCAGGTTTAAAATGGAATATAGTTGGCATGACTGATGGGATGGTTATGACCCTGTGAAAGCTGAATTGAGAGATCCCCATATAAAGACAGCACTCACTGCCTTGGAAAAGGAGGGGAGGGTTCAGCAGCCTACAGCTCACAGATAGGGAGGTTTTCCAGGTGCTGCTGGGAGACCCACTGAGGCTTCTCAGTCCAGTGGCCTTTGCAGGTCTGGGTCAGACTGGTGGAACTGGCCCATCTGTGATGGACTGCATCCAGAGGAACACTGCTGTGGCTGGACAAGGGCCACCTTGTGAACTCAGAGGCTGCTGAGATGTAACCACAAGCCTTGGTTCTTCCGTCTGGGGTCATGAGTGGGAGATGAGAGGCTGCTCTGGAACAGGCCTGGCCTCCCTCCTACTCAATGTGGCTTCTCAGGTTCTGAAGTCATCTTACAGGGGAGTTGCTCTGCACTGAGAGGGACTTGGATCTAGAAAGACCATTGGTCTAGGAGGTTGGTGATATGGTTCTAGATCAGGCTCTGCCATATACTTCTAGACCTTGGGTTTATCCATTAACCTCTGTGGAACCTCAGTTCCCTCATCTTTAAAATGGAAATGTAATCATACTCATACCTAGCTGCTATTCACATGTGAAAGTAGTTTGTAAACTAAAAAGACAGGTGGGGGCATTGAGGAAGATTTAGCTTTCTAGCAAGGCAAGATGTGTGTGTATTAAAAATTAGATTAGCCCTGGAATGTGTGGCTTGGTTGGCTGGAGAGTGTCCATAGCTAAAGGGTTGCAGTTCAACTCTGGGTCAGGGGGCATGCTCAGGTTGCAGGTTTCCTGCCGGGTCCAGGCACATGCGATCCTGGGTCTGGGTGCCTATGGGAGAAAACCATTCAATGCCTCTCTCACATCAATGTTTCTCCCTTCCTCTCTCTGCAAAGAAGTAATGAAAAAATGTTCTCATGTGAGGATTTGAAAAAAAAAATAGATTAGATATATGGATTTTCTAAAAGTCCCTGGTGTTCTGCCAACATGGAACGTGTGGCTCGCTCCCCCTGCTTGGCCTGCAGCTGCATTGCTGGTTCCTTATCTAGGCTCCTCCTCCTCACTCCCTAAGCAAATAAATGCTTTTTATAAGCATACAGTTTCCACAGAGAGACTACACTCAAAAGAGTGTGGGGACGGGCGGGCTGGGGGTGGGGAAGCAGATATTGAGACTTGCATTGCAGAGCTCTGAGAGTCACCAGTGGATGAGCTGACCACATTTTGACTCCAAAAGGAAACTACTCACCTTAAGACTCACAGACCGACTTTTGAGGTAATTTCCCCAGTTTTGGGGTGGGAGAGAGAAACAGCCATTGTTAAATATTCTCTTCTCTGAGATGCTGCAGAGCAGTGTACAGGAGTAGAGAATGGACTCAGGAGACTTGCTTGAGGCCACACAGTAGATTGGAACAGCGGCTGTTCCAGATGTTGAGAAATTTTTCAGTTTGTTATTGAGTTCAAACCCTGCCTCTTGAATTGCCGTGTGATCTTTTTCAGGTCCTACAACCCCTTAGGGCTCAGGTTTCATGTCCATAAAATGGGTTTGATGTGCAGAAAGCTAAGTACCTTAAGTGAGTGGTTGCGGGGTCAGTCCTGCCATTCTAGCCTCAGGGTCTGAACGCCAGAGGGAGAAGCCTCAGTAGGGAGGAGAAGCCACTTCCAGGCTTAAGAAGATGGTGCTGCTCCCCAGGACATGGGATGTAAGAGTTCTCAAATATTGTGGGGTACCCAGGGTGGAGATTGGAAGGCAGAGCCTGACCTTCAGTAGGAGGCCATAGTCTGAGGCAGCTGCAGCTGTAGCCAGGAGTGTGTGTACATCTCTATCTTCACCCCTCTGTTACAGGAGCAAGACCGGCAGAGACTTAAAGAAATGCATGGTTGTGATGTTGCTTCTAGGGGTGTTGGCTTGCTTTTTGTGTAGGGAAGATAACTACCATTACCAGCAGCAGACAAACCATATAAATACACGCAATAGATAAATTCCCTTACTGTCACTGAGAATGTAGGGAGTTGACATGTTCTACAATTTATATTCAATATTATTTTGTAATAGTTTCAGGTATACAGCATAGTGGTTAAACAATTATATACTTTACAAAGTGTTCCCTCTGTAATTTCCAGTATCCAACTGGCATCGTATTTAGTTATTACAATATTATTGACTATATTCCCTATGTTGTACTTTACATCCCCATGGCTATTTTGTAACTAACAATCTGTACTATTCAATCTCTCCACTTTTTTACCCAGCACCCCAATCCTGACCCTTCAGGCAACCATCAGTCTATTCTCTTTCTATGAGTCTGTTGTATATTCATTTATATTGTTCTTTAGATTCCACATATAAGTGAAATTATATGATATTTTCCCTTCTATGACTGACTTATTTCATTTAGTATAATACCCTCTAGGTCCATCCCTGCTGTCACAGTGGTACAATTTCATTCTTTTTTATGGCCAAGTAATATTACATTGTATATAAATACCACTACTTTTTTATCTATGCATCTATTGATGGGCACCTGCACTGTTCCATACCTTGGCTATTGTAAATGATGATGCAATGAACATAGGGGTGCATATATAGTATTTTTTTGAACTACCTTTTGGTTTTGTTCAGATATATACCCAGAAGTAAAATCACTAGGTCATAAAGCAGTTCCATTTTTAATTTTTGAAACAATCCATACTGCTTTCCACAGTGGCTGTACCAGTCAGCATTCCCACCAACAGTGCATGATGGTTCCCTTTTCTCCACATCCTCACCAACACTTGTTGTATGTTGATTTATTGACGATAACCATCTAACATGTATGAAGTGATATCCTGTGGTTTTAATTTGTGTTTCTCTGATGATTAATGATGTATAGCATCTTTTAATATGTCTATTGGGTATCTGTATGGGTTTTTTGAGCAGTATTTATTAATGTGCTTTGTCAATTTTTAAAATTAGATTGTTTGGGGGTTCTGGTGTTGAGTTGTATAAGGTGTTTAAGAATTTTGGATATTAAAGCCTTATCAGATGTATCACTGATGAATATATTCTCACATTCAGTGGGTTGTAGTTCCATTTTGTTAATGGCTCCCTCTGTTGTGCAAAAACTTTGTAGTTTATTGTAGTCTTATTTTGTTTATCTTTTTTCTTTTGTTTCCTTGCCCATGGAAATATATCTGAAAAAAAAAAAGCTATTACTAAGAAAGATATTTGAGATTTTACTGCCTATGCTTTTTCATTTTTTAAATTTAATTTTGTTCAAGTACAGTTTTCTGTATTTTACTCCCATCCCAGCCCACCCCCCAGCCCTCCCCACCTCCCTCCCATTTCCATCCCCCCATCATAGTTTTTGTCCAAGTGTCCTTTATACTTATTCCTGTAAACCTTTGCCCTTTTTCCCTGAAATTCCCTCCCCTCCCCCCTCTAGTCACTGGCAGCCTGTTCTCTATTTCAGTGTCTTTGGTTATATTTTGCTTGTTTGTTTGTTTTGTTGTTTAGGTTCCTGTTAAAAGTGAGATCATATGGTATTTCTCTTTCACCACCTGGCTTATTTCACTTAGCATCATGATCTCCAGTTCCATCCATGCTGTTGCAAAGGGTAGGAGCTCCTTCTTTCCTCCTGCTGCACACAATTCCATTGTGTAAATGTACCATTGTTTTTTTGATCCATTCATTTACTGATGGGCACCTAGGTTACTTCTAGCACTTAGCTACTGTAAATTGTGCTGCTGTGAACATTGGGGTGCATAGGTTCTTTTGGATTGGTGTTTCAGGGTTTCTAGGATATAGTCCCAGCAGTGGAATTGCTGGGTCAAAAGGCGGTTCCATTTTTTAGTTTTCTGAGGAAATTCCATTCTGTTTTTCATAGTGGCTGCACCAGTCTGCATTCCCACCAACAGTGCACTAGGGCTCCCTTTTCTCCCAACCTCTCCAACACTTGTCTGTTGCTTTGTTTATGATGGCCATTCTGGATGGTGTGAAGTGGTATTTCATTGTGATTTTAATTTGCAGCTCTCTGATGCCTAGTGATGCTGAGCATCTTTTCATATGTCCCTGAGCCCTCTGTATGTCCTGCTTGGAAAATTGTCTGTTCAAGTGTTTTGCCTATTTTTAAATTGTGTTTTTTTTGTCTTCCTGAAATGGAGTCATGTGAGTTCTTTATATATTTTGGAGATCAAACCCTTGCCCAGGGTTCATTGCCAAATATATTTCCCCATACAGTTGGTTCCCTTTTCATTTTGCTGATGTTTTCTTTAGCCATGCAGAAGATTCTTATTTTGATGAAGTCCCATTTGTTTATTTTTCCTTTATGTCACTTGCTGTAGGGGACATATCAGTGAAAATATTTCTGTGTAGAATACCTGAAATTTTCCTGCCTGTTCTCCTCTAGGATTTTGATGGTGTTGTGACTTATATATAAGTGTTTTATCCATCTTGAATTGATTTTTGCATATGGTGTACGCTGGTGATCGAGTTGCATTTTTTTGCATATCTCCCAACACCATTTGTTGAATGGGCTACTTTTACTCCATTTTACATTTCTGCCCCCTTTGCAAAATATTAAAATTCAAAGATAAAGAGAGAATCTTTTTGTTTGTTTGCTTTTGTTTTTTAATTTTATTTTAATAATTGTTCAAGTGTTTTGTTTTTTAATATATTTTATTGATTATGCTATTACAGTTGTCCCATTTTCCCCCTTCACTCCCCTCCACCCTGTACACCCTCTCCCACCCATATCCCCCCCCCCTTTAGTCATGTCCATGTGTCATACTTAGAAGTTCTTTAGCTTCTACATTTCCCATACTATTCTTACCCTCCCCCTATCTATTTTCAACCTACAAGCTATGCTACTTATTCTCTGTACCTTTTCCCCCTCTCTCCTCCTCCCACTCCCCTATTGCTAACCCTCCATGTGATCTCCATTTCTGTGGTTCTGTTCCTGTTCTAGTTGTTCGCTTAGTTTCTTTTGGTTTTGCTTTAGGTGTGGTTGTTAATAATTGTGAGTTTGCTGTCATTTTACTATACATGTTTTTTCTTTATCTTCTTTTCTTAGATAAGTCCCTTTAATATTTCATAAAAAAAGGGCTTGGTGATGATGAACTCCTTTAACTTGACCTTATCTGAGAAGCACTATATCTGCCCTTCCATTCTAAATGATAGTTTTGCTGGATAGAGTAATCTGGGATATAGGTCCTTGTCTTTCATGACTTGGAATATTTCTTTCCAGCCTCTTCTTGCCTGTAAGGTCTCTTTTGAGAAATCAGCTGACAGTCTGATGGGAACTCCTTTGTAGGTTACTGTCCCTTTATCTCTTGCTGCTTCTAGGATTCTCTCCTTCATTTTTACCTTGGCTAATGTAATTATGATGTGCCTTTTTGTTTCTTCTTGGGCCCAACTTTTTGGGGGCTCTCTGAGCTTCCTGGACTTCCTAGAAGTCTATTTCCTTTGCCAGAATGGGGAAGTTCTCCTTTATTATTTGTTCAAATACATGTTCAATCTGTTGCTTTTCCTCTTCCCCTTCTGGTACCCCTATAATTCGAATGTTGGAACATTTAAAGATGTCCTGGAGGTTCCTAAGCTTCTCCTCATTTTTTTTAATTCTTATTTCTCCATTCTTTCCTGTTTGGTTGTTTTTTTCTTCCTTCTAGTCCACTCTGTTGTTTTGAGTCCCAGTTTCCTTTCCATCACTGTTGGTTCTCTGTGCATCTTCCTTCATCTCTTTTATGGTAACCTGCATTTTTTCATCTAATTTGCACCCAAAATCAACCAATTCTGTAAGCTTCCTGATCACCAGTGTTTTGAACTGTGCATCTGATAGATTGTCTATCTCTTGGCCACTCAAAAGGAGGAGTCCTGGGGCATTGATCTGTTCTTCTGTTTGAGACATGTCTCTCTCTCTCTCTCTCTCTCTCTCTCTCTCTCTCTCTCTCTCTCTCTGTTTTGGGGGGGGCTGGGGGATCTGGTTGCTCCTGTTACAGTGAGGGGCAGAGCCTTGGGTGTTCACTGGGGCTGGGCACCCCAGTCACTAGATTGTGACGTTGTATGTGGGGGCAGGAGGGAACAATGGCAGTAGCTTCATTCTCCTGGGACCTCAGTCCCTCCTCTGGGATCCTGAGTTGCGCACTCTGTCCTGGTCTACAATCACCACCTCACTGGGTGCGCCAGCTGCCACTTGTGTACTCAGGGTCCACCCGCTGCGATCTTGCACGCCCCAGATGCTTCACATGCTCCCAGTTGCCTTATGTGCTCCTGGGTGCCTTATGCACCCAGTTCTCCCT